AAACAAAGGGGTTAACAATGTAAAACGAAGAACAAAGACTTACCTCATTAATGTCGGATAGTTTCTTGCTTAACATCTCCATACGTTCACCATAGGCTTTCCCGCCTCAAAAAATATTTTTAAATAATATATTAGTAAAAACATATTTGGCACAACAAATTTAGGGGGGATATAAAGGGGATTCGAGTTTGTTAAAATGAACGGTCAGGACTTCTTTCAAGGGAAGATAACTTAGAATAACTAAACTTTGACTTATTATATTCCAAGGACTGTTAGGTTAGAAAAGTTTGAACTTATGTTATAAACATCTTTAATGGATATGGAAGATTTAAGTATGTTCAAATCATTGAACTCCGGGGGTAGGTTAATTGGTTCCATAAATGAAGATCATTTTTACAAAAGAAAAGGGAGGAACTTTGTACAATCTTCTCAAGAAAAGATTAATCATATTTGATAAAGGGGCATTTTCAATTGTAAAAAATTAAATCTTGACATAAAGGGGAAAGATAGGCTATAACAGGAGATCAAAGTTATTATATATGAATATTTATGAGGAAGAAGATTGATCATTTTTTTCTGTAAAGATCAACGATCCCATTTTAATTATTGGCATACTATTATTTATTTTAAGAATTAAAAATCCCAATTTTATTTTCCATTTCCGATACTTCCTTGCACTTCTTAGTACACGCAGCTTAAATCATATCAACTTTCCGTTTAGGTAAAAAGAGTGGCTTTTTATTTAGAAAATTTTTTATTTAACATTGAAAAATATAAATCCAGAAAAGCTTTGTATAACAAAGGGAATAATTATATATGTCTTAAAACTTCTGGTATTTACAATTTTTGAAGAATTAAAAAAAAAAATCTAAGGAAAGTTTATTCGTGTATTTGAGCATTTGAAAATTTGAGTCATCTTTCTGTTGATTAAAACAGAGGCGCTGTTACAGTCCTAGCGCTTACCCAGACAATATGCGATGCATGTACATTTTACAAAAAAAGATTCAAGAAAAAAGCTATTCATAACGAAAACTCTAATTTCCGCTGCTCTAAAAATACAAACTCTCTTTGTGCATTAAAAAAAGCAAAACTTGAACCTTGTATCTGAGTACTAGTATTTGAAGTGCTCGGAGGTTTTGATTATTGAAATTTCTATTAATATCACAACTTAACCCAATTCCTTTACAATTTAATAAACCTTTGAACTTCCATCGACCTGAGGTTTTTTTTTTTTTTTAACAAAGTAAAGATTTTTTTCTAAAATAATATGTCCCTTACCCTGGTAATCTGGCTTTTTGGTCGCCATTTTTATCTCGTGTTGTCAATCTGTTTCTAAAGTTGTCAGAGCTGCAGAAACAAGCTCACAACTTCCCTGTCCAACGCTCACTTCCGCACAAACACAAAATACATGAAATATAATTTTACACTATCACATGTCGAGATTTGTTTTTTTTTATCACCAGACAATCGTCAAGTACTAAAGAATTACGAACGGGAAATCGTTCATAAGTGCCCACAAGTTAGTTTTCAAGAGAAATCTCATTTTGTAATATTATGTAAGACTATTGTACTACTGTAACACGGAAGTATTGAATTGTGAATTTTTCATGAACAATTTATCAGATAGGACAATTTTCCTTCTATTTCTGTGTTAAAGTGGGAAAACATTCACCAATATCTGCCATGTCAGCGCTGTAGCACTTCGCGACAGTTATGGCCTGACAAACTTAAATCTAATATATTGTGGGGAAACATTGCTGCATTTACAGGAACAACACGCTGTCACGCTAACACAAGTCCGCGCAAACACGCCGCCGCGCTAAAAGACGCTTTCAAGCAAACACGTCGTGTGAGTTGTCTGTTAGCGAGACAACTTGTGTTAGCCTGACAACGTGTCGTGTGTTGGCGAGACAACTTGTGTTAGCCTGACAACGTGTCGTGTGTTGGCGAGACAACTTGTGTTAGCCTGACAACGTGTCGTGTGTTGGCGAGACAACTTGTGTTAGCCTGACAACGTGTCGTGTGTTAGCGAGACAACTTGTGTTAGCCTGACAACGTGTCGTGTGTTGGCGAGACAACTTGTGTTAGCCTGACAACGTGTCGTGTGTTGGCGAGACAACTTGTGTTAGCCTGACAACGTGTCGTGTGTTGGCGAGACAACTTGTGTTAGCCTGACAACGTGTCGTGTGTTAGCGAGACAACTTGTGTTAGCCTGACAACGTGTCGTGTGTTAGCGAGACAACTTGTGTTAGCCTGACAACGTGTCGTGTGTTAGCGATACAACTTGTGTGGTAGCGAAACAACTTGTGCTAGCCTGACAATGTGTTGTGTGTTAGCCTGAGAAGGTTAGCGAAACAAGTTGTGTTAACCTGAAAACGTGTTGTGTGTTAGCGCGAAGGCGTGCTGTGTGTAAGCGCAACTATGGGGCGCCGTTTTGGTATTTACTGCCAAAAAGTGATATCATCTATTCGAATAAGTGATATCACTTGTTTGATTTGAATTGGTGATATCACCCATTCGAAAAGGTGATATCACTTATACGAATAGGTGATATCACTAATTGGAATAGGTGATATCACCTATTCCTTGAATAGGAGATATCACTTATTCGAATAGGTGATATCACATTTTCAAATTAATTATGAAATAACAACAGCTCCCAAGACCATAGGTCTCTAAATCTTATTTACTTTCACTTTCGTTCTATAGCTCATCATTCTAGGAGACAATAGATTACAGTTTTGCATTTAATTTTAATCAACCCATATAGAAATTGTAATTTGTTTTGCTCACAAATTAATTCATTTCACTTATCTATCATGTAAACTTTGAAGAAAAATTGAAAAAACGCATGAAAACCGGGTAGTCCAAATTTTCTCGGTTCCAGTGGTAATCTACAGCTGTATATAGTCTAGGGAGCATTCATTATTTATTGTTGTAAGAAATTCAAATAGGTGATATCACCAATGCGAATTGGTGATATCACCTATTCAAATTGGTGATATCACCTATTCATTTCCAATAGGTGATATCACCTTTTCGAATAGGTGATATCAACTATTGAAAATAAATAGGTGATATCACCAATTCGAATAGGTGATATCACCCATTCGAATATGTGAAATCACCTTTTCAAATAGGTGATATCACTTTTTGCCAGTAAATACCAAAACGTCTCATACGCAACGACGTATATTTTTCTGAACGCAGTTTTGATGAGCTTTAGCAAATGGCCTACATGTACCATCTGGACACCATAAATTACAGAGGCGATACGTGCACCATTTAGCGCAATTTTTAAAAATCTATTTTGGTAGAAATAAAAAAAACCGATTTTTAACGAAGATTAGCAATGTTATTGAACCTCGTAATGCATGAAAAGAAAGAAAAAGAGATATAATTTTCGCATTGCATATGACATTTTGTAAATCAGTAAGAATTTACAATTGATGAAGTATGCCTCATGCAAGATCTAGACCTTCCCTTAATCCTTTCGATTCGTTCCCGACCTTAATTTTTCCTGTCGGTGATGGGAATATCTGTATCTATATTGTTTTTTTAAAAGTTAATGGAGCCAAAACGAAAAGGTCTTGATTGGTCACTATATATTTTTTTAAAGAAATGCAGTTGCTTATAAATATATATTTTTCTCCGAAACATTGATCAAAATTTTAGATAATGACACCGAAATGCACCTGCTTAGTAGATAAACAGTGCTTATATAAAGTTTTTTTTAAAGTAGGCATACCTCTATTTGTGCTTAATCCACGATCTTATGTTACAGTGTTAGAATTATGCATACGAATAAGCCTTATATAGAGCAGAGAAACAGTATATATTTGAATCCCTGCAGTCATACGCATTAATTTTACGTACAAACTGGGTCAAAACTACACACAGCACACATGCCAGACTGCAGAAATAATGATCATTAAAAATATACAAGTTCTTTACATGTACTTGTTGTTCGTCAAGCAAAAAATAAAATCTTTTCTTCTTATTATAAAGCTTGACGTTCACCATTCGGTATATATTCCCCTTTTACCCAACCCGTCAAGAAGTCTAACTCAGTGTTCTGTGAATATTTGTTCAAAAATACATAGTTTGAATTAATGTAGAATACATTTAAGCAGTTGGATTAGAATTAAAGATTATAGCTTGATGTTTTTTTAGGCCCCATTCGACAATTTTTCACTCATATAAAGACGTCACTATAATATACATGTCCATTGAGGGCTTCAAACCTTTACTCGGTACTCAGGACAATGAGCAATCCCTACCGTGACTAGAGATCTCGGTTTTTATGGTCTTATCCGAAGGAATTGCAACTTTCACTTCAAAGTGTAGAGCGCCTGGTGAAGGTCGTAGGTCAGTCGCGACTGAGATTCTTTTTTCAAACCGAGCCAAGATACTGACAAATAAGTTGATGTGGCAATGATTTCATCAACCCAGTTTGTCAGAAAAATCTCACGGTGGTTATGTTTAGTCTTTAAGAGGTTCTTTAACTTCTCATAGACCATAAACTGAGAACAGACTTAAGTCAAAATTTCAAATTACTATAACTTTTGGAATAATTTTGTAATTGAAACAAATTTTTCATCATATATTTGAATTTAAATATTACACAACATTACAAAATTTTCATCATAAATTTGAATTTAAATATTACACAGCATCGCAACGATTTTTGATTTTAAAAAAAATATTTTGTTTATGTACAAAATAATAAGTCTACAGCTCTGCTCAACCCCACGTGCTTCAAAATAAATTAAATCATAGTGGTCCGGCTTATCTTTTTTCATTTATTTAAGATTAACATGGAGGCCCTATAAACAATTTGTATATGACAAAATTATTATTTTTATCCATATGGATAATTATATTTATTTAAGACAGGTAATCGCTTTCTTTTGAATCTTGAACACACTCTATCCTCGTGGAACGAATGATAACTCTGCAAGGAAGATTTGAACAAAGCCAAGGAGTTGTCCCCCTAAATTAGAACTCTTTTGGTTCAGGAGTTACGAAAGGTGTTGTTTATATTTCGAAAGAAAAGAGTGTCACTGTCACACTGACTGTCAGTCACCACTGAATCAGAGTTTGGTAAAAGCCACCAAAAATGTCGTTGGATCTACTCCCTGCAAAGTTAAAACCTATCGGGCATTACATAAAGACAGCGATCGAACATGACAAGCGGGATCCGGTGGTTGCGTATTACTGTATGTGAATTTACAAAGTTACCTTCTCAAATGTCAAAACTGAAACTTAGTGAAGGTCTACATGATTACCATGCAATTATGAATGACATAATCACAATTACTGAGTTCTAGTAATATATCTGAAAAGTCTAAAATGATATTTGTAATTTCATGTAAAGGATAATAGATGAACTAAGTTATGTCATAGGAAAATAGAAAGTTTGCTTCCTCAATCACTTCTACTAGTGACAGTAGTACATCTTTTGTGAAACGTTGCATTGATTATGATCAAAAGATATTATACTATTAATCATCTAAAATTATCACATTTAAACAATATTATTTCAACTTTTTTTCCAACATTTAATAAATGTTGGGTTTGCTATTGTATATATCATGTACATGTATATACTAGATGTCGTACAAGACACAAAAGATAAACAGAGAAATACATGTGTATAAAAGGGATGGAGAAATTTATGGCAGGCTGAACCAGGAATTGGACCTGGAATCCTGCATCACTTATCAGATGTACCACTGACAGAGTCCCTGTCATGCCAATAGCCTCCCACCTTAAAATAATGTTAAACTTAATGTATGGCTGGATCAAGCATTTAATAATTTCTGTGGAGATTCAGCTGGCTAGATATTTGGCCTGATGTCATCAGCAGTGTGAGAAGTAGTATTTAATTATCTTGACAGGTTTCATGCTGTGTATAGCTCATCTAAACACCTTCCTGAAGGACAAGAGAAAAAAATTCTGCCTACAATGATTTTTCTAAATCAAGCCAGTTCTTTGTCAATTTTCTTGAAAAAAAAAAAATTAGAAACAATTTTTCTTTAAATCCATAAATTTCACGGAGAAGATGTGTTGATGACAAAAAAATGATGAATATAATTCAAAAACTGAAAAGAAACATGATCTGTTTTTTTGACATTCTTTTTAAAAAAACATTTTCGTTTGTTTTCTGCAGGTCGGTTTTATGCAGTGAAGAAAGGAATAGAAATTGACAGCTCTTCTCCAGAATGTAAAAGCTACTTACTGGGGTTGATGGATTACTTGGAGAAGGTAAGTGTTCTACACTTATACTGACTGTTACTATGAAGTAATGTATTGAACAATATTTATTACAATGGTTTTCACACATAAATGAATAGAATTCAAACAATAATTGTTCATTAATCATGTTGAAAAAATTAATCAAATCTAAAAGGAAAAGATATGTGTGCTTTATGTAATTTTTTTTTAAATGAAATATACTATTTGATTAATAAATGAATATCTTGTATTTCTTGCAGCAAAAACAGGCTGCCCCAGAGGATTCACCAATCAAAAACGAGGTCGTAGGTCAAGCACATGTGGAGAACTATGCTCTGCATCCTGTACGTCTACAATGAGGACAGAGCAGGACGACATAACAAGTAGGAATTTAAAACAATTGAATTAAATACATACTTCTGTATCATCTATAGGAGTTATCAATACGCAAGTTTCGAGATTATCTCCCTTGGTGCGCTCTTTCGTTGAGGAGGGGAGTTTCGTTGCCGCGTAAAACAAACAGGTGGGACAGATATTTGTTATTGTGTATGTTGGATACATTGCATCATCGATATACCGGTGTATCATAACTACACGATTGTCAGGATGCACTCTGCAGCTTGAGAATAACCAAATTAAAGTAAAGGCATCATTTTTAAATCAAAAATATCGAAACAAAAAAGAAAATACCAGTTGATATGAGAATTTTCTGACGAAGGAAGAGATATGGACCTCTTATAAATACGATACACATGCATCTGGTCATTGCACGTCGGGAATCTAAATTACATATTGATTCTTTTCCTTATTTTAACTTAAAAAACACTTACTTTTTAGAAAATGTTCGTACAATCAAGAAAATCTGTTACTTTATATAAAGACTATGACGTTTCTTTCGTTTTCAAGTACCCGAAAGAATGAATCCTCTAAACACTGCAATTTCGCCCCTTCTTACATGCAGAATTTTACCCTTTTAAATAAGAAAATTGTTGTATCTTAAAGCTAGAGTCTTCAGTATAGTCTGTATGGATACTAATAAAGAATTGTTTAGGAAAGAGACTTTCAGTATATACATGATATCGATTAAATAAAGTCGCATATTTCACTGTAAAACTTCGCCATTACGGCTATGTAGGTCACTGAGAACAAGTATTTGAGTGAGAAGGCGGGGCGTCTATCAAGCGTGCGATTTGTATGAATACATTAGAGTGTGTTCAAATTGTACTTAGTTTTATGATGAAGTGACACCTAAAACCTCTTATTTAGTGCTAGAAGATGACGTAAGTATAAGTACCCTTTTTAATTTGTCAGGCTTAACTTCGTTTTTTTTCTGTTTAAACTACGAGTCATATTTGAAATGATTTATTAGAAATTCGTCAAATTATTTAAATATAAAGAAACACAATTATTTCGAATTTGTGAATAACGTATAATGCAGGATATATACACTTTTGTCATACTTTAAAACTTCATTTTTATAGAGATGATAATTAATCCATTAAAGCTTATGATTAATACATTAAAGCTTATTAAATTTACATGAATAACTATTTCATAGCATATACATATATGATTTTGCGAATCACACCAAATACGGTTGAAATATGATATATAAACTTCACTCTGTGTATAAAAAATAAAATCGCAAGAAAGTGAAAATTAAACGACAGTTTAACGTCAATATTATCGTTGCTGGATATATAAAAAAAACATCAGTGTTAGAAAGATAGTGTACTTTGTACAGTCCAGATTGCATCGTTTAATTGGGGTAAACAATAAACCATTTAAAAAAAAATTACGCCCTTCACCATTCGATTTTTTGTTATTAATATTTAATTGTTGTTAGATTTTGTGCCGATGTAAAGAGTTATAACATGTCATCAGAAGTAACCCGGAATTTCCCTCTATTCAATTAGGGGTGCATTTTGTGCAATGTGTTCGTCCAGTGACTTTTCACCCGATATATAAGCCTTATCAACGTCTCATACTTCAATTTCTTTTCCGTAAGGTTTCTTAAATTGGAAGTATGCTTTTGTAACAAATGGTTTATTTTCTAAAGATATGATAAATTAGTATTTTTTTCAAATAACGATCTATAAAATTAACGAAAAACTGAGAGAAAAATATTTAATATCTTCTAAGGTTTGATGAACGTACCACTGATGTGATAATTATACTTAGGAACAAATAATATATCCACAGTATTTTTTTTTAAATTCTATATTAATGAGATACAAGTAGTAAGTGCAAGGTTTATGCTACAAGCCTCCAATATATATTGATAAATACCGAAAAAAATCAAACAAAATCAACTGAAATATCATTATAATAATAAAAAAAAATGTGAACATGTCCTGAATATACCGGCATAAACATTTTATCCCAGAGTACTTTAAAGTCTAATTATACCCATTTGAAAATGATTTGACCATCGATAGCTCGCAACAATGGACACGATGTCGCATTGATCTGCTCAAAGCATGAAAAGTGAATAGATTTGAGTCACGTGTTCAATGCTTTGTTATTCATGAGGTCAAAGGCGGATTGAATTTGTAAACAAGGTGCCTTTACTATAGGGACAGGTACCCGAGATTTTGCACCTTTTGGGAAAATAACATGTGAGCGCATGGCTGTTTCAATTTCTTTCATGAATTAAAATGACAAGTATAACTCTTTACATTGACCGTATTTATTACAACTTGAAACATCAATGCGCTCATATAAAAAATGGGCTTGCAAGTGGGGGTGTGGCCTAAAGTCTGATGAGAAATAAATGTAAACAACGTACCCCTGCTATATTAATCAGATAAATACCCAATTATCGGCGAAGGAAGCCAAAATTGAAAAAGAAATATATAAACTACAGTGTTTAATGGAAAGATTGAGACAAAAATATGTAGAAAATGTTTAAACTTATTTTTTGTAAATTATCGGGGGGCCAAATTTGGACGTTTAAACGATTCATTCTTTATAGTAGAATTGTAAATATGCATAGTTGAGCTTGATAAAATCATCAAATGCATCACTGCATAACATTATTATCTTTCTATAACATTTAATTAATTTTAAAAGCCATAAATATCGTTCTTTTATTTATGCACTTTTGTATACAGAGACAACCTGTCCCACCTCCATGCTGAAATGGGTACTTTTTGCGCCTCTATCGTAGGAGAGTTACAATCTCAAAACTGGCGTATTAGGAGTGATTCTAGCTTTTCCCTAGAATTCCTTTAAATTTTAGCTCATATGCTTTCAAGTTATTGTTGTGAGATGTGTATTGTTTCAT